TGGACCCAAAACTCAGGTGCCCACCCAGAGTACGGGGAACCAGACACATGGGCCAACTTGAAACCTGAGTGGGAAATCTCAGCTAGCAATGTCACTGCAGGGGGATGAACCCGTATGCTGAACTAGTGCTTCAAAGAGGACAGGGAAGCTCAGGCAATTTGGACTCTGAAATGGTCCAAGGTAACTAGTACTGATGCAACTGTGTGTTTATACTGTAATGGCACTGGACACCCCACCCCCTTTGCTCCAGAACAAGACAATTTGGGAATTCCTGCTGGAAAGAAGGAGCTTTGCTTCCCCCAGCCAGTGCCTTTTGCTACCAGGCAACCTCTGACAGTCCAGGCTGATTAAACAGTGAACTGGTGGTAGTACACTGGTGATACGTACTCTTTGCACGGCGGTCAGGCTCAGGGTGCGGGTGGGAGCGTGTGTGCCACATTGTTGCCGTCATGGGCTTCGGGGACCTTAAGTCCGCTGCTGGCCTCCGGTTCCTCAATGACTTTCCGGCTGACAGGAGCTATATTGAGGGGTATGTCCCTTCTCAGGCTGATATAGCAGTCTTTGAAGCAATCGCTGCCCCACCTTCTGCAGACTTGTTTCATGCTCTTCGGTGGTACAATCATATCAAGTCGTACAAAAAGCAAAAGGCAAGCTTGCCAGGAGTAAAGAAGGCTTTGGGGAAATACGGCCCTGCTGATGTGGAGGACACAACAGGTGCAGCCACAGATAGCAAAGATGATGATGACATTGATCTTTTTGGATCTGACGACAAGGAGGAAAGTGAAGCAGCAAAGAAACTGAAGGAAGAACATCTGGCCCAATATGAATCAAAGAAGTCCAAAAAACCAGCTGTTGTTGCCAAATCATCAACCTTGCTTGATGTAAAACCTTGGGATGATGAGACAGACGTGGCCAAACTAGAGGAGTGTGTTTGAAGCATTCAGGCAGATGGCTTGGTCTGGGGATCTTCCAAGCTGGTACCGGTCGGCTATGGTATCAAAAAGCTTCAGATCCAGTGTGTTGTTGATGATAAAGTTGGAACAGATATGCTGGAAGAGAGAATAACAGCTTTTGAAGATTATGTACAATCAATAGATGTAGCTGCTTTCAATAAGATTTAAGTCTTGATATATCTAGAACAAATGTAATTGCAAAGAATTTATTTTTTCTTCTAAAACCAGGCCAGTCAGTCTCATGTCTGTGCCTGGGAAGATCATGGAACAGATCCTCCTGGAAGCTATGCTAAGGCACGTGAAGGTCAGGGAGGTGATTCAAGACAGCCAGCATGGCTTCATCAAGGGCAAGTCCTGCCTGACTAACCTAGTGGCCTTCTATGATGGAGTGACTACATCAGTGGACACAGGAAGGGCTACAGATGTCGTCTATCTGGACCTCTGTAAGGCCTTGGACACGGTCCCCCACAACATCCTTCTCCCTAAACTGGGGAGGTATGGATTTGATGGGTGGACTGTCCGGGGGGTGAGGAATTGGTGAGATGGTCGCATCCAGAGGGTAG